GGGAGGGAGGGGGGAGGGGGAGGAGTCTGTTGGTGGTGTAGATTAGCTAGCTGGCCGGACCGGACGACCAACTAGATAGAGCTTGTGTACGTACCTGTGTGTGGTCGTAGTAGGGGGTGCTCCCGTAGCAAGCTTATCATATCAACCTACCTACGTGGCTAGCTTCCTACTGTTTCTGTTATGTCATTTGCCGTCAAGTGAGAAGCTCTGTAAGATGCGATCGATGCCTGTGATGCATGTGGGGTGCGTGGGGTGGGGTGCATGGCATGGGATGGGATGGGTAAGTGCGTTTTATCGCATCGCATACAAACGTCACATCGTGTGGCCTGGATGGAGGCAGGCAGGGCTGCCATGCCATTTTTTCTCTTGAAATTTGTCCCATGTGTCTGTCGATATGTAGCAATTGACGTACGCCGGCGTACAGTGCACGTGAACTTTCTGTTTTCTTCCCCAACTCTCACACACAGATAGTTTTTTCGGGACCCACCTCTCTCTCTCTCTCTGAGTGTGTGTGTGTGTGTGTGCGTCTGATGCCCGAGTGTTGTGCCGTTTTGGCAGCCAGTGAGGTTTTCTGATATCTGGGGTTGTTTGCCTGCCTGCCTGGCTGGCTGGCTGGCTGCCTGGTGGATTGGTTTATTTCCTCAAGTCAGTGACTGAGTGAGTGAGCAGTGGAGACAGACGAACGTTATTCAGTGACACTGTGCTGTTTGCAAACACATCGCAAGTACTGAAGTAGCTGAAGGGCGACCCAGCTACGCGACGCCACGCTACGCTAGGCTAGGCTGCTGTGGCATTCAGTGGACTGACTGTTTTCATGTGTGTGGACGGACGCCTGCTTGCAAGCAGGCACCTTTGAGGAATAATTCGCTCAAGCAAAAGTGTGTGTTGTCCCTCACGGCCATCCATCTACCATCTGTCAAGTCAGCCCTCCCCCTCCCGCCCCTCACTCTCACTAGGACCCACATAGCCGTTGACCACACCATCGCCACCAACACTACCACCACCACCACCACCAGCAGCGGGCGATTCTGGCGGACCGCTCTGACGATAGAGGGCCTCTCTCGCCTCCTGACATCACACACACCACACACACAGAGATACCGAGGCGGGGGAGGGTGAACGAATGGTGACTGTGTGTCTGTGTGTGTTGGTTGGCTTATCGATACGGACGTCTCTCATTCTCTGCAGGTAGGGCTGCCCCTGGTAGGTGAAGGGTACGCCATGCCTCTCCTCGAACTCCGTCAGCTCCCCCATCAGCACGTCGTCCAGCTCAGACAGTTGCCCGATGGTCTGCTCGATGTCCGCACCGTTGGTGGTGGCGGTGGCGGCGGCTGGTTCGTGAGGGTGGTCTGGGGGTGCGGCGACGAGTGTCTGGAGCCGCTGCTGCAGCTGCTGCCGCTGCTGCCGCTGGGTGATGCGGCGGAAGAGCGGTAGCCGGTTGGACAGCTGCCGACACTCCGACTCATAGACCTGCACACTCGCATGGCCAAAGGCGTGTGTGCGTGTGTGTGTGTGTGTGTGAGGAGAGGGGTGTGTGTGGGTGTGTGTGTGTGTGTCTCACGTTTTGGAGCTGAGGTGTGTAGGGCATGACGCGCTCGCAACGCAGCACGAAGTCCAATATCTCGTCGCCTGCAGTGCAGTGCAGTGCGCAGTGCAGTGCACACAATCCATCCATCCGTCCATCCATCCACAGCTGGCTGATGAAGCATCCATCCATCCATCCATCTCCCACTCACGCGAGTGTGCACGCTTACGTGGCACGTCGAGTGTCTCCCAGAGGCTCTGCAGCGTGGCCCTGAGCTCCGGCCATGTCGCTGACATGCTCCCACCCCCCACAGCAGCCCCACCTCTCGCCTCATGGGCAGACCTGCTCTCGGTCATCAGCTGCCGCCACCATGAGAGAAGAAAAGGTCTGGGTGGGGTGTGTGTGAGTGTGTGTGTGTGTGTGTGGTGGCTACCTCTCGTTCGTCGTGCTGCCGCTGTTGGTGTATGTGTTGAGAGAGCCTCTCGACCTTGGCCGCACAGGCGTCCTCCATCTCACCCACGGCCTCATCATAGCTGCCAGATACACAGCCACCACAGACATACTTTCTTCCATGGCATGGACCACACACATACAGACAGACACAGGGATGACGCCCCTCTCTGTGTGTCAGCAGGGCAGGGGGCGGGGGCGGGGGGGATGTGGTGTGCTCACTGTTGCTGCGCTGCTTGCTGGTAGTCGATTCGCCACTTGGCGAGTGCCATCTTGAGTTTGCGGATCTTGGCGAGGAGTGCGTCCTTCTCCTCGCCCCACAGCCGCTGCACTCGCTGCAGCTCGCTCTCATATGAGCGACACTGACACCACACACACAACCGTATACGCGCCTCTCTCTCTCTCTCTCTCTGTGTGTGTGTGTGTGTGTGGATGGGTGCGTGAGTGTCGGTCGGGTACCTACCTACCTGTGCGTCATGGTGGTGTTTGATCTTGTGGAGTTCCTGCTCGTATCTGAGCCTGGTACCCTGCTCGAACGACTGCAGTGCGGTTAGCTGCTGCTGCGACAGCTGCTGCAGCTCCGTGACCCAACGGCGGTCCGTCTGCTCCGAGATGGCTGACGCCTCGTCGAACTCTTGCTGCACTTACACACACACACACACATCCATGGGGTGGGAGGGGAAAGGGGGGATGGGTTACCTTGAGTTGCTGCAGCTGGTTGGTGTAGTGTTCCTCGAGCTGTGAGTCGATGCGCGTCGTGGCTTCGGTCTGCAGCCGGTCCCAGTCCTGCCGCAGACCCTCCAGCTCCTTCTCATACCTGCACACACGCGCATCGTGGAAGGAAGGATGCGCCAGTAGTCTGTAGCCAGCCTGCCCGACGCCTAGCTACTTGAAGCAGGTCTTCTGCTCCAGCTCGTAGAGGCTCTCAACATGCGCCTCCGCGCGACGACGCTCCGAGGCAGCCTACCACCCCACCCCACAGTGACCACACCATTAGCTAACACATACACACACAGCCATGGACACACACCCAGACGGACCTTCTCGTCGAGAGTCTTGATCAGCTGCCCGAGCCTGTCGTTGGCGGCCCTGTCCTGCTCCTCCCTCATGGCCTCGATGTGCGCCGCACACCGCCGCTGCAGCTCCTGCTCGAAGTGCACCCGCTCGTAGTGCACGCGACGCACCTCCTCGCCCACTAAGGTTGCCTGCACCACCCAAGGGACCAGACCCATGGCACGTGTGTTGGGAGGGGAGGGTGTTGGAGGGATGCGGCGCCGGCTGGTGTGTGTGTTTGGTTGCCTGTTGTTGCGTTTGCTGCTCCATGTGTTTGATGAGTCTCTGTTTCTCCTCCTCGTGTGCCGCCTGAGTGGCGTCGAGCAGCTGACGGTACTTGGACAAGACCGACTGCTCCACGGACAGATAATGCTGCACACAGATAGATAGACACAGACAGACAGACAGACCGACAGGCGGACAGGGAAACGCGCGAAGGGGTTGTGGGGCTGTGTGGTCCTGAGTCAGTCGTGTGTGTCATGTGTTGTATATGTGTGCGTGTACCTTACCTGGTCGATTTGCTGGAGCTTGTGCATGGCCAGCGTCTGCTCCTTCTCCCAAAGGGCCAGCTGCTCACGGTGGTGGGACGCAAGCAGCGCATCCACCTGAACACACATCTATTCTACTCGACACACCCGTATGGTATGTGCAGGTAGGTCAGATGGCTGACCTTTTCGGTGTAGGTCTGCACAGACCTGGCGAGGTCAGTGCTGTAGAGGCCCTCAGAGCGGCCCCACGTGTCGGCCAGCTTGGACAGGGCATCCTCCTGAGCGATGGATAGATAAACAGGATGCACCGGTGCGAAGCCAAGGAGCGGTACACACCTCCTGCTGCCTCCACTTCTGCTGGTGGGTGACCATGCGCTCGTCGAAGTCAGCCTCAATCCTCCACACACACACACACGCACACACATACACACGCCCACATGGACTCATCAAGACAAATGGACTCGGCATCCATGCCATGTGTGCGTCGGTCTTCTCACTGTTTGGCCTTCTCCCGTGCGTTGTGTTCGAGGGCCTCACTGAGCTGCAGAAACTCTTTCTTCAGCTCAGTCTGTAGCTGCACGCCACCCACCCCACCCCACGCCATCACACCCACCCACACACACACACAGAGAGAGAGAGAGATGGGTGCCCACACCACAGACGGGAGGGTGGCTGCATCACGCACAGCACAGCTACACACATACATACCCGCTGGTCTTTCTCCTGCAGTATCTTGGTTCGCTCCCGCTGCCACCTCTGCTTGAAGTCGACCTCCAGCCGATGGCGCGTGGAGCCTACACTCGCCTGCAGTGCAGTCCCAATGCACAGGGAGGGATGCTTCCTTCCGGGCAGATGTACTTGCCTTGCGCTCGTCCACCCACCCAGCCACCGACCTGTTGCTGCTGCACTTTGCCCTGGAGCTGCGACAGCTGACGGGACTCATCCAGCAACGCACTCTGAACAACGCACCAACAGAACAAACCAATGCACACGCGCATCGCACCCCACCTCCCTCTCTTCGCACCTTGATGCCCTCCAGAGTGCCGCCCGCCTCCATCTCCCCCTCCCCCTCCCCACCCACAATTGGCCCATCCTCTGCCATAGGTGGTGGTGATGGCTGGATGCGTGTGCCACGGTGAGGTGATGGCGCCTTGGCCTTCGCAGCAGATGCAGCAGGCGGACTGAAACAAGGAACGAGGGAACACACATGAGCGCATGGATTTCTTCTGGCTTCCTTTGGTTCTGCTTACGGCGGCGGAAAGTCTACAGGGGCTCCCTCGCCCGTCAGCACAAAGGGCTCGCGCTCAGCACCGGCCATCTCACCCAGATCTGCCCTTCCCTTGTCCATCTGCTGCTGGCGCTGCCACGGGCCTCCCCTTTCGTCTACTGGCACTTCCGCTTGGCTGTCCGTATGCGAGCGGGGCAGGGACTCATCGCTGCGGTGGGGAGATGCAGCCGCAGATCTCTCCGTCTGGGCGCCCCTTCCATCATCTGAGGACCACATCCGCCGCCGGACTAAAGGCGATAGAGGGGATGCGCTCTGACTCGAGACTGGGGGCGCCCTAGGGGGCGGGCGCCTTTCCCTCCGACGAGTCTTATCGTGCTAGTGCTTAGCCTACCGATGTCTCCAAAGTACGTGCTCATCGTCCTTGTTTGCCTGCTATCGTTGGCACTCTTTGCCTCCGGCCAGTCATACGCAGGCAACTACAAGTACGGGTACAAGAGACGACGACGCAGCCAGCGCCGGAGCAGCCAAAGGGGCAGAGGGGCGGGCCGGGGGAGCAAGACCCTGCGCGACAGGCTGAGGTACCGGCCCTATGAGAGCCCCAGCAGCCCCGACTTCGACTGGAGCTCGTATGCGTTCGGGAGGCCGGGTGGCCGGGGAGTGACCTTGTAAGCAGCGCCAAGGATGGACGAGGCAGCAGACAGACAGACAGACAGACAGACAGACAGACAAGCACACTACTCACGGTCGCATGCAGGCAAACTCTGCTCATGGTGTGTCTGTGTGTGTTTCTGTGTCTGTCTCCGCGTGTGTGTCTGCCTTCTTTTCAGTGGCGCAGGAGGGCGGTCTGCGCGCGTGGTAAGCGTTCTTCCGGCAGCTCAGCTCGCTGCACGCAGGCCGCGTTGGTCTCATTTTTTTGGTTTGTTGTATGTGTGCCCCCGTAGGCTGTTCCGGCCAACTGCGTGCCGAAGCACGGGCTTCTGTCCATTCGCAAGATCGCCGCCTCCTTCCGGGCCGACCCCAATGTGTACAGGAGAGAGCTCGACTGCCGGGGGGCGGCCAGCGGGACACGATACTACAACGCACCTGGCGGATTCTGACACACGGACCGACCGACGGACTGACTGACAAACTGATGGAATGGACATGTTGGGTGTGTGAGACAGGGCGTTGTCGCTGTTCTGTCGTTTTCCTGTTTCCCTACAAACATGATGCAGACAGATGCCAGGCAGCCAGCCTTCAGACGGCCATACGCTACGCCTGAGACACGTGAGAGAGTGCAAGCTTGGCTATCAGTCGGCCGGCGGGTGGTCGGCCTTTTTTTCAGTGTGTCGATGCATGGTGAGCCAGGCGGGCCTCAGAGACGCCATTCCTGCATTGATTGCCTGGATAAATGTCGCCGTTACTAACATGGGGTGGGGCGCGGGAGGAGACGGGAGGGGAATGAACGGGGAAGGGAGACAGCATGATAACAAGGAAAAGTGAATGGCTAACTTGATATTAACCTGAATGCACTATATCGTGTGTGTGCTGTACGGCACCTCTCATGCCGCCTCCCTTGCCTCATGCTGTGCCACATCTGCCTCGCAGCGACTGTAGCTGCGTGCGTCGTGTGGACAAGAAAGGCTTTTCTGAATGTGTCCTCCGTGCAAAGACCGACCAGTGCGTGTCACGCTTGCACCTTCTCTATGTCCGAAACACACACGTCATACACAAGATCCCATCACATGAGCAGAGCAGTCAAGGCACAATCAGTCCTTCACACTCGGCCCTTGCCTGCCTGCCTGCCTGCCTTGCGTCTCTGCTGGCCTGTATCTGCCTGCCTCATTCCCTTCGCGGCTCGCTAAGTGCCCGGATCCGGCGGCTTTGCCGATATGGACAAAGCGTGCACGCCTGCCTTGATCTCATCGTCGAGTATCTCATAGATGAGCCGGTGGCGCTTGATCATGGGCACATTCGCAAATGCAGCGCTCTCCACCATCACTCTGCAATGCATCCATGGACACGCGGCGCACACACAGCACAGCACAGCATTCCAGAGGTGTCTGGAGAGCACTGCACTTCATGCTGTACTTGAAGTGTGTTTCTTGTTTCCTGTCAAGGCCTTTCATCGCCGCGTGGCCAGCATGGAGATGGCTCTGCAGCAGACACAAGCGCACACAATGAGTGCAATGCCTTCCGTTCATCTGCCCGGACCTCGTCGACGATCTCAAGCTTCGTTGGAGTCAATTTCTCCGTGAGCTTTCTCTCAATCGCCTCATAAATGGGTCCCTTTGTCGCCATACTGCTGAAACGGCGCATTCGCAGCGGCGATCCACCTGCAAGCTTAGCTCGCAGAGGAGGGAAAAGTGAAGAGGGGAAGAGAGCGTCATGGCGATTAAGAAGACACGTCAGCGTGTCTACAAGAAAGTCCGGAGAACCCCGAAAAGTCTACACAGGTGAGATGCGTCACTGACTGTGACTGCAGCGTCATAAACTGCAACGTTCCATGCTTGCTGTCTACAGGAGGCGATTCGACGTCAAGAAGAGCATGCGAGACCCAACTATGGTCAGAAGAGAGGAAGATGAGACCTCGACAGACATGCTTCTTTTCCTCACTGGTCCGTTTGTTGCGTGCGCAGAAGAGCCTGTGGGATGATTCCAAGACGGTCACGCAGAACCTCGCAGCCACCAGCGTGGCCGCCTTCGCTGAACAACTGCCGGAGAAGATCCCCAAATCAGTGCCAAAGAAGTAAGCACGAAGGAAAGGGGCGTTGAGGCGGGCGTCTGAATGCGTATTAGTAACTGACTTTCAGGCTGTCAGAGTGGGACGCTCCTATCGTCAAGAAGCTACACGAAAAGCACGGGGACGACTACAAGGTGGGCCAGCCACTGAATACCCCCCCGCGCATGCATGGCTGCACCTCAATCGCCTCCGGTGTGTCTTTGTTGGTTGTGCAGGCGATGGAGCGCGACATCAAGGTGAACGTGCTACAGTGGACTGCGGCAAACATCGAGAAAAGGGTGGCCAAATGGAAGAGAAACTACGTGTCGGGTCTGCCAAAAGGACCTGCCCAGAAGGATGACGGCAAGGGGCAGCTGGGGGGGCGTGCGGCCGAGAGTGACGTGCAGATGGCGGAAGGCGAGCCCAAGGAGGTGACCAGGGCTATGCGGAGAAGGGAGAACATGAAGCTGAGGAAGATGATACTGACAAGAAAGTGAACATGCGCCTGTCGTAGGTTGATGGATGGATGGGTGGACGGATGGAAGGATGGATGTCGTGCGTTGAGTCATCCTTTCGTTGTTGATAGACTGCGTATGGTGATGATCATGATCTAGATTTAGACGACGGTTGCATGATTGTTGGACATTTGTTCGGTCATTACCCTTGAGTCCTTCCCTGTAGACAAAAAAAATTGCCCGCATCCACCCACCCATCATCATGTAAACTCTACAATCGCAGTGCGGCCGACGAAAAAGGGCACACATAGACCTCATGATGTCACTCACGTGCACCCACACCCACACGCACACCCGCACCCCAGCCCATCAACAGGTACATACATGGCTCACTCAGCCTATCGTCACTCATCGATGTCTGCATGCCATGCATCTATCTATGTGCGTACGCCTCCATCGATCGCTGCACGCCTCCGCACACACCGGACACTGAAAAAGAGGCGCAGACAGGACAGGCAGGGCTGCCTGTTTCTCTAGGAAAACTGATAAACACAGGGAACGTCATGGCATTCACAGCTCGGATGTGGTGGTGGTGGTTGTGGCAGTGGTAGTTGTCTTGGCCTCCTCGAGGTTGACGGGGATGTGCCACTCGCTTTTGGATGGGTCCTGCGCACGATGGCACAACGGACAGTGCAGTGAGAGACATGGATGGATCGACGGCAGCCCGCTTCGTCACTGGCTTACCTCGTACACAGGTGTCTTGTGTCGCGAGCAGAGTTCCCTGAACTTCGCCAGCAGCCAGTCGTAGTCACTACGACGGGCACTGTCTGACGTCAGCAGCCGATTTACCGACTGCATGTACAGCAACAACAACAACAACGACATGACAACATAAGCAAGGCGACGTGGGTTGGGTTTGTTGACGCACCATCCGATCGACGAACGTCGGCGCCAGAGTGAGATGACTCACCTAAGAGCATAGACACAGAACACACAGAACAGACACATTGTCAAGGTCGTCAGCTGTGTGTGTGTTTCGTTGAGTCGGTGGTCGCTCTCTCACTTTGGTTGGCTCATCTTTGTGGAGGTGAACAAAGTACATCATGCCCAGGTCGTTCCTGTACTCGTCATCCGTGGCGTAGTCATCCAGGAAGTCGCCAGCGCCGTAGATGATGGGCCTCGCCTTGTACAACTCGATCCCCTGAACTGCACACACACCAGACGGGCACACACCCAGACGGAATGCTCCGCACGGAGCATCAACACCTGCAGCCTCACTGTGGTGTGACGAATGTCCATGCACTATGTCGACACCGCCCTCGTCGATCAGCTTGTGGGCGATCCTGCAACGCAACACGATGGATGAACCGAACCATGTATGCATTCTTCGGCGGCTGACATACATGGTTTGCTGGTGTGAGGGGTGCCATCGGTAGTTGGGCCCCCAGTGGATGGACAGGACCGACAGCACCGTGTGGCCACTCCCACGCTCTCGCTCCAATTCACGCTTCAGGTCACGCTGATGCATAGAGAGAGACACAGACGCAACGCACAGGGCGGCTACGTCCATGCCATAGGTGCATCCATCCATCGCCCGACTAACCATCTTGTGTGCCAGTTGGGTGATCTGGCGCTCGTTTATGTCATCGACATCCAAGTAGTTGAGGCCCTTCCGATCCTCCGTGGCCGCCCATGTGTCGAGGCCCTCTTTGTCTGCCCGACCTGTGCACAATCCATCCATTTACGTGTGCACGGCCGACCCATCCAGAATGTGTATATGTATGTGTGTGTATGTGTGTGCGCGTGTGTCTATGTGTGTTTACCGGCTCCGTGATCTGAGAATGAGAAGACGAGCAACGAGATGGGGTGGCCCTTCACCGGCACCTCGACGGGCCTGAAGGCCTGCACACAGCGGCAGGGAGACGCAGCCGTCGAATCATGCACACGCCTCGGTGTTTGTTGGTCAGATCAGAGATGCGCCGTACCTCGTTTGCATCCTTGCCAACTCCAGCAAATTTTATGCCTGCATCAATCCATCCAATACACAGACAGAAACCAAAGCGGGCAGGGGGCACACTCAATGAATGGCCGCGGTGGAATGGCCCGATCGGCCCACCTGCCTCCCGCAGTGCCTTCATCGTTTCCTCCATGCCCTCATACTGACACACACGCACGCACGCACGCACACACACACACATATCATGACGACACTCTCTCTCGTGCGTGCCTGTGCGTGTGTGTGTGTGTGTGTGTGATCCGTGAATGCATGAGCACATACCCCATAGTCGAGGATATGGTTGTTGGCCGACGATGCGTAGTCGCACCCAATGACCTTGAGCAAATCGATGTTCTGGGGGTGCATCCGATAGTGGAACACCTTCGACGGCCAGGGGGCTGACAACGGCATAAAGAGAGAGAGAGAGAGAGAGAGAGGGGATGTGTGTCCATCCATCCATCCATCGGTTGCTCACTGTCGCTTGTGGTGACGGATGTTTCTAGGTTGATGAGGCGGGCATCGGCCTCCTTGAACAGAGGAAGAGTCGTCCCCCACACCTGCCCAAAGTAGGCCGAAACATGCACCATTGATGCGTGTCTTGGCTGTTGGCGGTGTCAGTCGGCGGCTCACCCGCTCGAGCTTGTTGGTGTCACTAAGCCCCCTGACACCCAGCCCAGCCCTCAGATGATCACCAAGCGCACTGCACACGGCGCCCGACGAGCAAGAGACAAGGTGAGTGAGTGTGAGATGCGTCCCACATCATCGGTATGGCTGACTGGATTGGTGCACTGCGTCCCTCCCTCCCTCCCTCCCTCCCCGCTTACCTGATGGACCTGCCGTGCTCCACTTCGTTGGGTATGGGGTGCGGCAGCACCTGGTCAACTGTGTGATGTGATGCACAGCAACGACAGCAAGAGGACAACACTCAATCTCCGTCAGCAGCCACTCACAAGACGAGTGCAGTGCATCCACATGGCTTACGCAGCCGGCCTGAACAAGCATAGCATGGAGAAGCAAACGAGTGAACGAGTGAACGGATTGATGGACACAGACGCGCGTGAACCTTCTCCTCCTGCTGCTGCCAGCACGCCTTCTGCCGCCCTCTCTGCCTGCCTGCCTCACTCACTCACTCACTCACCGGTCATGCAGTCTCCAACGAGCGCCAGCTGGACCACCTGGTTCCTGTTGGGCAGGTGCAGCTGTGCCGCCTGCAGCGTGCGATGCGTCGACGCCATCTCGTTGTCTCGCAACACACGGGAGGGTTGCTGGCCCATAATCAGACTCCCAAACCAGGGAGATAACCTGAATCAATCAACAGACAGACGGACACAGACAACATGACAAGCACAAAAGCGTGATGATTCATGCATGCGACAGGAAAGGAGACAACGAACCTTTACCACGCGAGTCTCCTTCCTCTGCTGGGTGACCGGTCAGTCGCTGATGCGGCGATGAGAGCAGCTGAGCATACCACGATGGCCCAGCTTCGCGTGAGCTGCATGCATCGACACAATTCCACAGCACAATCACCCTACCGAGGACGAGCTGCTTCTGTTTCCTTCATTGATTACCATTTGCTGCGTTCTTCTCAGTCCGTTTGTTTCACGACTCGAGTCCTAAGACGTTGTGTCTCTGAATCGTTCTTCCTCACCGATTTCCTCCCCGCTCGCAGGATTTCTCCTTCGGGTGCCAAGACAGAGACCAACCCGTTGTTGGCCTGTGTCCAGCTGGCCCCGCCAGCCACCGACCCAGCTGCTTGACGATCCCGAGGTTCCTCAATCCGCGCGAGGCCTCCGTGTGGCGCTTGTGTGCCTAGGAGATGAGCGAGGAGTACGAGAAGGCCCCGGCCGACCCTACACCACGGGAGGCCGTGTCAGGTTGTGGCCATGCGGCCGCTGTGCCTGGCCCTGCCCACTACTCGCTCGTCCACGCCGACGGGCGGAATTCCGAGATGGAGCAGCCCTCGTCGGTTGACAACAGCCCCTCCTACTTGCAGCGGGGAGAAGGTGAGACCCGGCCCGGCACAACACAGGCCAACAGGCAGCCAACCACACACGGGTCACTGTGATTTTGCAGGAGCATCTCCCGCCAAGGCGAGGGACGAGCGTCTGAGGGAGTCACTGGAGCAAGGTAGGGAGCACGCACGAGGCCACTCCTGGAGCTGTCTGACTCCTCCTTGCGTGTGTGTGGGTCCGTTTTGTGTGCAGGTTTGGGGGAGATGGTGAAGACATGCCCAGTGGGACCTCATGCATCATCTGCCGAGGGCGGCGATGCCGCCGAGAGCGATCCCGACGCACCACAGCTGGTCAAGGAGCTCTCACAAGGTCACAGGAGACACACCACATGCAAGAAACAAACAGCCAGACGAAGGAAGGAGAACCGAACCGTGCGTGCTGTGTGTGTGTGTGTGTGTGGTTGGTTGGTTGCAGGCAGCAAGGTAGAGGTCAAGTGGCCCAATTCCGTGGAGGTGCACGTGGGCATCGTGCGTTCGGTGGCTAAGGTGGACGACGAGTGGACCGTGCGGGTCAACATCAGGGGCTACTCTACCGGCGATGGCTCCGCATTCGCCGTGCCCATCGAGTACGTCCGCACGGGCAGCGGATGGACCAGAGAACTGCTCAACAGTGACACAAGGTCAGTCAGTCAGTACAGTCGTGGAGTGAACGGGGAGGGAGGGAGATCAATGCACTTCCATGCACGCGGCTTCGGCTGTCCTGCCCTCCTTTTCTCTCAGGCACTCCCGACCTCGTCGCGCCCCCCTGGCCCAGCCGCAGAGCTCGCCTTCCAGCCCCCAGAAGCGTCCCCCCACGCCGCAGAAGCGCCCCCGTGCCAGGCCGTCCAAGACAGGCTCGCCCCTTACTTTGTCCAAAGACAAGAGGGAATCGCACGCACTCAAAGCCAAGAAGACCGCACGCCGCACGCGGCCCCAATCAGAGGTCGGGACGCGGAGCGACACAGAGATGGGGGAGGCAGGGGGGCGGGAGGAGTCCGTCTGCTCGGAGGGCCTGGCGGGCAAGGCCGACTCACACGCAGCTGCTGCGGCGGCGGCTGCATCGGTGGCGGAAGTTGCTGTGCCTTCGTGGCCGTTGGCTGGCGAGCTGGTGTTGGCTGACACATTGCAGGAGCGGATCGCTCTGGCGCGTGCCAAGGCGGCTGCGATCGTTGGGAGTGACTTCGACGTGTCGCATCTCAGCCCGACCGACGCACGCACCCTGGACAGGCTCAAACCGGGCATGAAGATCGAGGTACGGAAGACCCATGACACAGAAGGAGACACACGGAACCGTCAGAACCCTCACTCACTGCCTGCTTCCGTCTGTCTGTTTGTTGTGTGTTGTTGTGTGTGTTGGTGTTCAGGTGATGCAGATCACCAAGAACGGTCCCGAGGAGGCGACGGCCGTGGGGTGGGGTCCTAAGGACGGCACCGTGTACGTGCGGTATCGCAAGCCCGGCTGGAGCACCCTCTTCATCACCCCCATCTCCGCAGTCCGCATAGGCAACGAGTGGAGCGAGTCCATCCGGCAGGAGGGCCGGGCCAGCCGCGCAAAACCCAAACCGCCCTTCCTCCCACAGACCCTCGACAGAACAGCCACAGCCCCACCCACCACCGAGCCAGAGCCGGCCAAGCGCAAGAAGCACCTGGAGGTGCCTGGGGGGCCGAGCAAGCGGCATAGGTCGGCGTTTGGCGTGTCGATGAGGCGGGAGAGGGAGAGGGGGGATGGGGAGGGTGACAGCATTGATGGAGGGGACGTGATGATGAACATGCCTAGCGAGAGGTTTCGCCAGGAGCTGTCGAGGGCGGTGCCTCAGATCTCCGTGTCGAGGCCGCCCACGCTGGACGAGTGGGAGATCGACCCGTCGATCCCGCACCCTAGTAAGTACGAATCCATGCATCCATGCATTGTAGTTAAAGGGGACAGACACGTGACAGACAGGTCGATCGATGGATGCCTCACACACTTGCCTTGCCCGTCTTGTGTGCGTATGTTATGTGTGTGTGCAGACACGTTGCCTGTCGGCAGTCCGATTGAGCTCAAAGCGCCTCGGCAGGACATGCCGGAAGCGGCTGTAGTGGTAAGAGAAGGGCCTCGCACGACACGACACGACACGACACGACAAGCATCACTCGCCTCAGTCAGCCACACCGCCATTGACTGCTCTGGCCTGCCTTTGGTCGTGGTGTGCATGGCATGACAGGTTGCAGTGGTGTTTGATGATAAGGCTGGAGAGTGGATCGTCAGATACAAACGACCCGACATGAGCTACATCGGCAGGTAGGTAACACACACACACACACACACAGAGCAGACCTCACCATGCCTCCCACATGTATATATGCACGCCTATCTACTGCCCCTCATCGACTCAACTCAGAGCTCCACTTCGCAACGTGCGCCCCGGCCGTGGCTGGAGCCAGCAGCAGGGCACCACGGGCGTGCTGGGCCTGCCCAGCCGCAAGCTGCGCAGCCCCATCGCCATGGACGAGACCTCCATCGACAAGGGCCTGCGGACGCTGCAGAACGGGTCCAAGCCGCTGCCGTACCATCTTATGTCCCGTGCCATCGACCACCTCGTCAAGGAGCGGCGATATCACCTGACGAGGTCGAGTGTTATTGACTTCGAGGAGCGCGAGGACGCCGTGCTGAGCCGGCAGCGGCAGCGGGCCTTCGACAAGCGGCTCAAGTCGCTGCAGGACCGCATACGACAGGGCGACAGCAGCGTCAAAATCGGAGATCTCGTCAGGGAGGTCAGTGGGGGAAGAGGGGAGGGAGGCAATGGCATCGCATCAACCCACAGTCGGATCATGTCATGTCATGTCATGTGTTGTGCTTGTGGTTCGGGTGGGTGCAGATGCCTGGTGTGTTTCTGAGTGTGCGGTGGATGTGGCAAGACTCCGTCCTGCCAAAAAAGGAGATCGCCAAGGTGGGTGGGCGGGCTGCGGGCGACAGACAGGTACCGCACCTGTACATCTGTCCCTGTCCACTCTCTGTGTGTGTCATCCAGGATCTTGATCGCTTGCGCAAGCTTGCTCGTGAGGGGCCGATGTCTCGACACCCATCCCCATCGCCAGCGCCGTCATCCGTCGCAGCAGCAGCAGCATCATCGGGTGGCGACATCGCGTCTCGTTTCAACGACATGATGATGTCAGTGCAGCAGCCGGGCAGTTCATCTGCCACGGCCGACGAGAGGGCGGCCGCCGAGCGGCTGGTGAGCCTGGTGCGGGAGAGGAACGACGAGATCTTACCAGTGGCAGAGCAGGACAGGAAGGACGACCGCTCAGATGAGCTCTCCGGCGTGTCGGGTGTGTCGGGTGAGGACGGCAGCGGCAGCAAGAAGCCCTCTGAAGGTGCGGCGTCGCCGCTGCAGATGCTGATGGACGACATCTGAGTGAGCCCCTGGACAAGGAGTGTCTAAGGGAGGGGGGGTGGGTGCGTGTGTGGTCGCTTTTGAGAGGAGTGAACACATGCATGCTTGTCTGTCTGTATGTGCATCGTATCATCGCTGATTTTTCCGGTGGATGGATCGGATTGCTTAAGAAAGAGAGGGGGGGGTCTTGTGGGGTGGCGTGGGTGACGAACGGGGCTGTCCGTCCGGCCGTCCGTCCGTCCGTGCGTACGACTCATTTGTGGGTGTATGGATGGTACGGATGGCACTCGTCGGCCAGCCTGAGCCTTCCTGCCGGCCGTCATATATATTGCTCCTTTCCCGTGCCGCCCATCCCTACCCCCACACACAGAGGCGCGATCGGCTCCATCCGCCATCCTTCACTGTCTGTCGTTTCTCATCCTGGTTAAGCACATGGCCCTGGCCCACACACGTGAGCGAGGGGTGACTCCCTCCCTGGCTTTGCTGCCCCTTTTTCCCATTCTCATTATTCAGTTCTTGCTTAGACAGGCCTTGACGCATCTCATCTATCCATTCGTTCTCCCGACCGAAGCGGAGACTGTTTGTTGTTGATAGCACGGGCCGGGTGCTTCGATTGCTGCCTTGGTCGACCGATTGCTGGTGAGTGTTTGATTGCATTGCTGATGTGTGCGTGAATGGCGGTGGTGGTGGTGATTTAAACGGTGAGAGGGAGACTTGTCGTGTCATGTCGTGTCGTGTCATGATGCCTTTTTGGTGTGCAGTGAGTGCGGGGGTGCGTCGACTTATTATCTTTCTTGTCTATCCAACACAGGGAGAGAGGGAGGGAGGCCGCCCTCTCCCCCCCTCCCTTCCTCGTCTTCTTCCCTCATCTCATCATCTACAGGTGTCCATAAGGTGTGCATATCATCTATTCTTCTCTCGCTGTCTGTCTGTCTGCCCGCCTGCCTGCTTATTGGTGCTATGTGTTGTGCTGTGCTGTGCTGTGCTGTGTCGCTTTTCCCTTTCCGCCTTAACACATGAGTTCCTCCCTCCGACCTGGCGCGGGATGGGTGTGTGAGTTGTTGGCCGCGCGTGCCTCTCAACAGAGAATGCGCCTGCAGATCATATCCACACACATGCGGTGGTTGGTTGGTGCACCCACCCTCCATGCGCCCCCATTCTTCTTTCTTAGTCGGTGACAGACGCACACACTGACGTCCCTGTCTGTCTATGTCCTCTCTCTCCCCGTGCGTCTGTCTGACCATGTGTGTGCGTGTGGCTCGCGGTGATGGTCAGAGGTTCAGAGAGGACAAGGAAAGGATCGATCGATGGATGGATGGATGGATGGATGGCGCTCGTGGTGGAGCTGTCTGCCACGCCACGTGGCTGCCCTCCCTCCTGGTTACCCACCCACCCGATATGCATATCGATGCACCCCCCGGCGTAAACAATGAGACAGACTGACTGACACTGACATCGGTGGCTGGGCTCTTTTTTCATCATCCATATGTGATTGTGTGTGAGTGTGGGTGTGAGCGTCGCGTAGTTATGTGTGCGTGCCGCGTGTCTGTCCACTAACCACATGGCTGGTCCTGCCCTGCCCTGCACGCAACAACACAACGCACTCACATATGCCTAGTGGAATCTATCTATCTATTGCTTTTGCCTCGGTTTTGATCGGCTCCCCTCGATCTCCCGGCCCACCCATCCCCTCTTTCTCTCACTCACTGACTCCCGCACAGCAGGCAGGCAGACAGCCCCCGTCGACCCGCAAGTGGTGTGTTTGCGTGCGTCTGCACCTCGCTGTGCTTTTTGCCTTGCCGGCCTGCCTGAGTGATCGCACCCACCCCTGTCTGTCTGTATGCCATGCCTGCCTGTGGTACGATGCTGACTGAGGAGGACACAAACACGACGGAAGGACGACGGACAGACAGACAGACAGTCACCATGAATGCGATTTGGGCATCTGTCTACTCATCTAGCTATCTCGCGCGTGACACACGTGCACACCACGAGAGCTGACAGAGTCAAAGTGTCCATCACACTGCAAACACATTGATGAGAGCAAGTCAATCAGCATGCCCCCCGCGCACACTTTAATTGAGCGGCCAGGGTGATGCTTCTGCCGTTGCTGGCCTTCTGTTCGGCAGAACGGGGTCTCTTGGGTGCCTGCCGGTGTTCAAAACCAGGCAAGCCATTGCCAACAGCTTAAACTGGTCGTTTGCTTTCTGATTGGGGGAGAGTGAGTGGCCAAGCACGATCGGGCGATCGGATCGTATCATATATCGACAGGGTGCATTCAATTCATCCAATGTCTGTTTGTTGCACACTTGTCTGTTCTGTCTGTCTGTCTGTCTGTCTGTCCATCCATCCTTGGATGCATTCGCTTAAATTGTCACCCACCCATCCGCTGGCGAGGCGTGGCAGGTCTGGCCTGCCTGCATGCCTGCCTGCCTGCCTGCCTTGATGCCCTGCACCCACCCGCTGCAGCCAGCAGCCCTACTCCTCAAATCTCCCTAGTTAGTGCATCGAACTAAGCAAGCGGCACATACCATGTATGGAAATACATATGTATGCTCATTCATGAGACATGCTGCACAGCCAGCTGCCAGCCAGCCAGCCAGCCAGCCAGACAGACAGACGGACGGACGAGCAGACCACACACACACACACACACACACAGATGCTCACGATTAGTCTCTGCAGCCACCCATGTAGTGATTGACTGTACAAACCGCCCGCCTATATGTAGCTATTCTCATTCTTCCTCCCTCCCTCCCTCTCTCCCCCTTTCTCTGTCTGTCTCTGTGTGCCAGCTATACATGCGCTGCCTCGCTGTGCCGGAGCTCATGGCGCTTGTGCCCAAATGCCTTCCACGGCTCCCTCTCGACCCACACAGATGATGCCACCCTGTCAGCACACACACACACACACACACATAGGCAGGCATCACACACAGCAGGTGAGAATGCATGCATATTTATCGGCCGAGCCTCTGCCTTCCCCCCCGCCGACCGACCGACTTACTTATGGACAATGGCGTGTCTGGCGGCGAGTTTATGTCGGTCGTCGTCATAGCCGCCGCCGATGACGCAGGCCACCGGCACGTGTGCGTCCATGCACGTCTCGATGACAAATCGGTCCCTATCAGCCAGGCCCCTCTCGGATATCTGGAGCTCGCCTAGCTTGTCACCAGCCCACACATCCACGCCCGCATCGTAGAGGACCAGGTCGGGCCGCTCGGACGATAACAACGAAGGCAACACACGGCGCAGCGTGTCGAGGAACTGCTCGTCGCCAGTGCCGGCCGCAAAGCTCACGTCGAGGTCGGACCTGATGGATGGATGGATGCATGGCAACAAACACGGTGAGTGACAGAGTTGCATCGTGTGTGCATCCGCTGCTTACTTTTGTTTCCTGAATGGGAAGTTTTTCTCGCAGTGGAAGCTGAGAGTAAAGACGGACGGGTCGTTGGCGAAGAGGGCGGCGGTGCCGTCGCCCTGATGCACATCCAAATCGACGATCAGGATCTTACTGACGTTGCAACCACACGAAGGCCGAATGAATGAATGAGTGAGCCGTGCAGGCAGGTATGTTTTTATGCCCTCGGATTTCTTCCTCACTCACTCACTCCCTTACTTGGCTCGTTTTTGCTGCTGGATGACCTTTGCCGCGACCGCAAGATCGTTGAAGATGGTGAACCCGCTCCCCCAATCCCAGTGCGCGTGATGCGTCCCACCTACACTCCCCACACACATATATGCGCATCTCATCCTACATGACATGTGTGTGTCATCTCCGTCTCTCCATTTCGCCTCACCTCCCAGATTGCATGCCAGCCCGAATTCCACCGCCAGCTGGGCAGTGAGGATCGTCCCAGACACCTCCAGCAGCGTCCGCCTCACCAGCGGGGGGCTCCAGGGAAACCCAATGCGGCGCAGCTTCATCGGGTCGAGCGTCCCCTCGATGAACGCCCCTACATACCCCGGCTCGTGAACCATCATAAGCCACGCCTCAGGCAGCTCCGGCGGGATGAAGAAGCAGTCCCTGGACACCCCCTGCTGCTCTATGAGGTGCCGGTGAAGGGCCGCGAACTTCCACATCTTGAACCGGTGGACGGACGGCCATGAGGGGCAGGTGTACTCGGGGTGGTACACAAAGGGAGGATGCGGGTGGTCCACTGGGTGGCAGCCCGCAGCAAAGTCGAAAGGGGCACCTGTGCGGGGGAAGAAGCTCTCATGCTTCGGCCCGCTGCGATGAGTCGACAGCCTCCGGTGATGCTGTGGAAGGGGGGAAAGTGGACGACCTACAGCGGGCGGCACAGAGGGCAAAGGGTTCTGTCGCGTCAGCTCCTTCTTGAAAGGAGCTGTGGCGTCAGATGGCGGCCATGGGAGGACCGTGGGACCCACATCGCTGTCACGATAGAGCTGCGCCCGCGCCTCCAGTCTGTGTGTCTTCCTGTGGATGAGGGGCTGCAGGGGGATGAAAGACGTGCCGGCAGATATGGACGGCTTGGCGGCTGCAGCAGCATTGGGCAGGATGGGCAGGGCGGTGCTGAAGGCAATTCGTCCCACGAATCTGCACACCGCTCGAGGGAAGAGAGAGGCATCCATGATATATCTTTGAAGATCTTCAACGACCTCCGGGATGGGATGCTTGTCCGGAGGTGTTGAAGATCTTCAATGCGTGAACAAGCTGCACAGTGCTATAGGGTTTCAAACCCTGAACCCCGAAGCTAAGCCCGCAGAGCGCAGCCCGGAACCCTTAACTGACCGACCGAAGGGTCAGCCATCATGCGGAAACGGGCAAGGAGAAGGCCGCCATTGGAATGTTGGAAGATCTGCATCTTTTCGGCATGTTTCATCCTCCAACGAGTGGAGATGCTGGTCCATCGGAGTGGGCCTTTCCGGGTGAGGCCGGTGCGTCCGCCGCGCCTGAAGGCTCATGCGCCTTGCATGGAGGCTGACCGAGTGGTGTCTGACCGTCGCTCTTTCGACGCGTTGCCTGCAATGAATGACGAGGGGTACAGGAGTGTACGGCGCATTGAGTCGGTCAACAAGATCCCTTTCTGGCCGACCTGTACAGACCCACACAGGGACACATACATGTGTATGAAATCAAAGAGCTACCGTGCTGTTTAGGGGCTGGCGGAGGCATTCGAGCGATGCTGCTGAATAACCGGGACGAGTGAGCAGATTGCACACACTCAAAGTGGTGGGTTGGGAGGTTGGGATGTGTGTGTGTGTGTCGTATTGCTGTACAGGTGGGATCCTTTCCTCTTGCTTGCGCACCACAAGCACTCATTCAGCCCATGGGACCCACTGCGGCGGATCCAGAAGAGCATCATGCCCGAAGGTCAGACAGACAGACAGACAGATGCCGCTGCATTTCTGTGAGAGCAGCGAGAGGTCAGGTCTCTTCTCCCATCCCGTCAGGTTTCCCGATGCACGCGCATGGCGGAATCGAGACCGTCACTTACATGATTGAGGGTAGGCAACAGCTTGCTGTCATGTTATCCCCGTGCACACACGCCTCTCACTCTCTGCGTCGTGCAGGTGGTTTCCTGCACTGCGACTCGCACGATGCGACCCCATCAGCCTACAGGAAAGGCAGCGTCCAGTGGTCAGTGTCTGTCAGCCGACAGAATCATCAGACAAGCACACAGGAGATATATATCACATGGAGTGAGTGGTGTGATGCTCGTGTGTGTGATGTGATGGGTGCAGGATGGAGGCTGGGACGGGAATCTTGCACCAGGAGATGTTCGAGACCTTCTCGAACCGCAATGCCGACATCGAGCTGTACCAGCTGTGGATCAACACACCCACTGACATGAAGATGCGCTCGTCATCGGTCACGGTCAGACAGAGAACGAACTAATTCCCTTATTTATGGGTCTGTCTGTCTGTCTGCCGTGTATGTGTGTGGTGTGCAGATGTTGGGCGATGAGTACGGCCGCCCACTGCCTGTTGTGCGTCGAGAGAGCGGTGACGGCCGTGTGTGCCGCACCGAGGTGATTGCGGGCATTGTGGACGGCCAGTCGCCCGACTTCCGGACCAATCTGCCGGTGACCATCCTCAGATGCACCATGCAGCCTGGTCGGTCAGTGGGTCCATCTACACACATCCGGTGACCTGGGTGAGTGAATGTGTTGTGTTGCCCCTCGTCAGGTGCTGATTTCGAGCACACCTTGCCGTCGGCAGAGGACACAGCTGTCCTTTATGTGCGCAGGGGCACCATCCTGCTGGGCAGAGCAGACGCCGACAAACGGCCCACCAGACGGGTGGGCACACGTACACAGCACATGCAGGCACCAATCGCATGACAGCCACAGACAGAGACACATCAATGGCCTCTCTCTCTCTCTCTCTCTCTCATGTCAGTTCACCTACGGGTGGACTGACCTGTTCAACCAGGAGCCAAAGGAGAGGATGTCGGAGGACGCCACTGCGTCTGAGGGCGATTTAGTGGTGCTGGAGAGGGACGGCACCAAAGTGCGATTCACCAACACGTGCGTAACGCGGGAGCCACGGCCAAAGCACAGCACACAGGGAATGAGGACGGCTTGCTGTGCTGTGTGTTGTGTTGTGTCAGAGGGCCAGGTGAGGCCGATGTTCTGTTCCTGTCGGGCCCACCACTTCGCGAGCCCATCATCCAGCCGTCGCCGTACGCCAACCAATACGACACACACCACACCATACAACAACGAGAGCATCAACCAAGGACGGTGTCTGTCTGTCTGTGTGCAGGGACATTGTGTGCGGGTCGATGGACCAGGCGCGTGAGATGACCAGGCAAGCGGATGGAGACAAGGGCAGGCGCATGTCTGTGCGGATTGGCGAGATGGCCGTGTGTGTGTGTGTGTCTGTGTGCATCAGGCGGATTCGCGAGCTGTACCGGGAGTATTTTGGTAGTCAGGTCGCCGCGAAGTGAGCGAGGCCGTGTGGATGTAGTCCTAGTAGCTAGGCTGGTAAGTGCAGCAAAGATCATGTGGCAATCAATGTGACGGAACTACCTACCATGCAGCCAGTCAGCACAATGTGTAGGTATTGCCAGTAGCACTGTGGCGACTTCCATCTCGCTGTGTGAATGGCATTCGTTGAGTTGTCCGGCCGCAACACAGCGTGTCTCAACATGCGGGGCACTTGTACAGTTGGGTGTGCGATGCCATCGTTCTCGGGCTCGTGAGTGAGCTCGAGATCGAGGTAAGTCACACCCACCATGAATATCTCCCTGTGTGCACAAGACAAAAGTGCCCTTTGTCTGTGTGTTCAAGAAGACTCTTACCGGCCGGTGTGGCCGGTGTTGCCGCCTCCCTCCTGGTGTTGACCACGTCGACCCAGGCCCCCCC